TCATGAAAAATGCAAAAAACTGAGGAAAGACATCTTCCAGAGTCTCAAGAAAGGAAATGGAGATTTCCAAATGCTTCACAAATGAGGTCTTCATTAAGGAACTCTTAACTTTATCATGGACAAATATTTCTTGGCACAGGAAAAAGAGGAAAGGCCAGGAGTATTTGGGAATATAAGAAAGGAAACACTGAAGTCTTCTTTTAAGAATCTTTCTATTCTTTTGCTTGTTTTTTGCTTTTGGGCTACACCTGGTGGTGCTCAGGGCTTACTCTTGGCTCTGAGCTCAGGCAGGCTCAGGGGACTATACGGGGTGCTGGGGATTAACCATGGGTTATTCAAGTGCAAGGCAAAATGCCCTACCTGCTGTACTATTTCTCCAACCCCTCGCTTTTTCCCACGTTTGTGTCTCACCTTGCTGGAGGTATGATATTCTAGGGGATGCACTCTAAATAGGACTCTGTGTTTTTCTGCTTAATAGCAGAGTTGCAGGCAGTCATGCCAACGAGCTAATGAAAGCAGAATGATGACCATCCTAACAGAGAGGCGGGAAAATAACACAGAGGACTCCTACTTTATATGAATGAGAACGAAGTTTGACAGTTACAATGTGGGGCTTCTACAGAGACCGGGCACCGCCCTAAAAGGAACTCTTGGTTCTCCCAATAGCACAAGCTGTCTTTTCTCACTCAGAGTGCCTTCTTTTTCATGGAAACCTCCAGTCTTTAGTCTCGGAGTCCCATCACTGCAATCCATTTGTCATTCTCAGAACTCTTATGTCTCTCCTTCTACTTAATATTTATTTACTACTTATTTGTTTCACATAAACTTGTCTTTTGCCTGCATTAGATTATGGGCTCTCTGGAGGCTGGTAAAAACAAAACAAACAAAACACAAAAAACAAAAACAAAAAAATCCAAACAAACAAATGAAACACCCAAAAACCCAGAGCCTCATATACATGGAGCACACATTCTGCCATTTGCCCCCCAAAATGGCTCCAGACGATTCTTTTGTTACTAACTAATACCAAAACAAGACTGACTGCATTTGGTTATGTCGCAGTTCTCTTTTGTGGTCAAGCAGGCCTCCCCTTCCCATTTTGTCAATAATCTATGAAGAAACCTAGTCTGTTTTCTGTTAGTTTTCTCACTCAGGTGCTATGTTTTTTCAAAATCATTTAGCATAGAATATATAATATTAATACATATATAATAGGACACGTAACAGTAGTAGAATGTGAGACAGAACTCTACGAAATATAGTAAGCACAACAGTAAATACAACTACCAAGTTGCCTCAAACATAAGAAAGCATGAAATAATTATCATTATTAGCAATTACAAGTGCAAAGAAGAAAAAATACAAGATGATAAGAGAAATTAGTGGAAGGGAACCTATTTGCTTTAATGATCAAGAAGAGCTATCTTTTATTTTGTATAATTTAAAGTACCAGGTAATGCTCAGTATTTCTGGGTTGGCTGAGAGTTATCTTCAGTCCCGAAAACTGAAGGACATATCACCTTTTGAATTCTTAATATTAAATATGATTGTCTTAGGAGTTCATATTAGAAAAAATGGAAAGGGTACACAGAATTTCATCTTGATTTAAATCGTGCACACATAATTTACTTTTAAAGAAAAATAATTATCCAGGAAGTAGTTACAAAAAGTAAATGTTTTTCCTCACGTATTTTATATATTACATTGATGAATTTTTGACAAGGAATAGAACAAAAGTTTTTGATACCTAAAGAAACACATTTAATGGATTTCTCTTCAAAAGTGCTTTTCAGTTCAAGCTGAGAAAGGAAAAAGATACAGGTACTCTCTGATTGGATAAAATGAAGGGTAAAGGTAAAGGTAAAGGTAAAGGCCCTCCCGTTGATCGTCGATTTGCTCGAGCGGGCCCAGTAGCGTCTCCATTGGAGACTTTGTTGTTACTGTGTCCGGCATATCGAATACTCTTGGTAGCTTGCCGGGCTCTCCGAGAGGGGCGGAGGGGTAAAAAATCAGAAAAATTGCAGAGGAGACAAATGATCATCCAAATCTCCACTTTACAAAATTATTGTATGGCTTTTAAAATAGTATATAAGGGGCTGCAAAAACAAACAGATATTAAGGTGCTTGCCTTGCATGTGGTCAACCCTGGTTTGATTCCCAGCACATATGACGTGACTGCCAGTACCAACCCCCAGCCATAAACCAGGAACAGCATCCGTGCACTGCCAGACATGGTCCAAAACCTCCAAATAAAATACAATAGTATAAACTAGACTACTTTTATACAATGCTGCCTGTCAATGTTTAAAATGTTTAAACCCTCCTGGCTCCCAACAGATGTCGAATTTGGGAGCACCAGCATACATGCTTGAGTGTCTTGAAAAGATGTACCTTCTACTTTGAACTAACTTGGGGATCCTCCCCACAAGTCATATGCTAAAGCCCTAATCCTTGAAATAATTATATTTAGAGATGGAATCTTCAGGAAATACTAAATGTTCGAGCGGTTCAAGCTAGATATGGCCTTTATCTTGGTAAGATGCAAAAGGGAGAAGAGAGTTCCCTCTAATATATTAGCAAACACTGAAATTACGGCTGTCTGCAAACCAAAATGAGAGTCTGAGAGAGAAATGAAGACAGCCACCCCTCTTATCTGCGACTTCTAAACCTAGAGAACTAAGGCAAAATAACTATCTGACATGCAAGCCACCCTGTTTATAATATTTTCTTCTGGCAGCCCAACCTAACAAAGACCTTTCTGTTTTTCTCTCCAGTATCTAAAGTGCTCTTCTATGCCTGACTTATAGGATGTGTCTCCACGTCTTGGAGTTGCATTAAACTAAGATCATGTGTATATAAAAAAAAAAAAACATGTATTTTTGACACCTAAGTAAAAAACAGAAAAGCTATTCATCAAGACTCATCCTAAACCAAGGGATGAAATGGATTGAACAGTTTTTATTTGCTTGCATTAACTTTGAAACTCTTGAAATTTTCTTTTCAACACAAACAGGAGCTCTCCTAAGGTGAGTCAGATCGGAGTATTTTCAGCTGTGGTCAGCTTCTCTCTGAGTCCCACTAGGGTTTGGTGATGCAGAGTAAACAAGGCTATAAATCAAACACAATGCATTTAATACCTCAATGCATTGCAAATTGATCTGGAATAGGGTCAGTGGAAATCATTTTTTAAGTGAAACTGTTCCTTTCCCCCAAAGGGATGGAATGAAAGTTAAAAATGGCAACTCCTAAAGCTATATGGAATTCAGATGTGGGGCTTGGATGGTAGGGTACTAAGAGGCCAAGTTTCTCCAGTTGAGGTTCTCCATTTATTTATCAGGCAGGAGGCTCGGATATTTAAAAACACACATCCTGGTGGCTGGCATTAAGTCTAAAATCTGGTCGGCAACTTTTCAACAAATAAAAGCTACAAACAAAATAGCTTTAGTTCCATTCAGCATGCTGTGGGAAATGGCTAATGGACAAGCATTACTATGACGGGCAAGGCTAGTTGCCAATAAGTGAGAAGAGCAGAGACCCAAACAGCAACACTTCCTAAGCTGATTTCACTAATTGATCAAAGGAGAGCATTATCCAAAGTGAAAGAAAAACGAGGCTGGAGAGCACAGAGGAAGGAACTATTTTAAAAGTAAAAGCTATGCCTCTTTATTTGCTAGTTCTCTCTGTTCTGTGTAATTATGGTTTACTTTTACCATTTACTGATACCACACTTAGCTTTTCTGAAGGCAACATTATCTTCTTTTCAAATGTGAAGAAGCCAAGAGCTATTTTGGGAAGGATAAATTTCCTTTATTTGCTTATGCTTGCCTTGTATTTTTTTCTCCAACAAAAAGAAATTAAATATAATGGTTGGGTGGTAAGAATGCATTGGAATTCTGATATGCCATTCCTCAGAGAGGGGTGGGGACATACTCTTTTTTTTCCCCTAGAAAAAGAAAAATCTCAAGTGCAATATCCTATTTTTTCTCCACTTTCAACTCTTTGCACTCAGCTTTCTTATATTTTATAAACAAATTAATGGTAAAATGGACCAATACTGGCAATATCTTTTCAAACACAGAGAAATCTAGCACCTCATAAGGGAAGGCTACATTCAGTTAATGTGTAGTTCAAATCAGTCTGAATTTCAATAGATAGTGCCCTGTGTCCTATTTTAGGCTTCTTAACATAACAAATGGAGTAATGACATTTCCAGTCTTCAGTGTAATGAACAGAGTATGAATGCTGACCACTTGGATTAAAATCCTATTTCTATCATTTACTAGTAGTAGAGCTGAGACTAATCTCATTCCTCCATTTCCTCAACTGTAAATAGAGAATACTAATGGTTCTATTTCACAGCTTGTACATAGCAAAGAGAAAACACCATATAAACATTAACTATAACAATTATTTTAGAAAACTATTGAAAGGACATTTTTCTCTACCTATGACTTGTTAATGCCAATTAAATAGTTAAGAGTGACGTGTAAGCCAGTTCAATGGTCTTAGATCATCTGTGTCACCTTGTGTCACCAATTTTCTTGCTGATCCAATAAGGAAAAATAAATAAGAATGAAGTATGAAAACTTTCTCATTCAAATCCAATCCATTCAAGAATAAAAATTCTTTCTTCAAAATCAGTTTTAACTGATAATAAAATTTTACTAATAAATATACAATTAACTTTTCAAGGCATGGCAGTCTATTTATTTATTTATTTGCTTTTTGGGTCACACCTGGCAATGCACAGGGGTTACTCCTGGCTCTGCGCTCAGGAATTACCCCTGGCGGTGCTCAGGGGACCATATGGGATGCTGGGAATCGAACCCGGGTCGGCCGCGTGCAAGGCAAACGCCCTACCCGCTATGCTATTGCTCCAGCCCATGGCAGTCTATTTAAATCCATAGGTTCCAATGAAGAAAAGAATTAAATAAAAAATATATACTATCACAGCAGTTATTCCTAAAAATCAAGTATTGGTCTGTGAGCAAAATACATACTTCTGGGGTGATCTGTTATCAACTTCGGCCTTCAGTCGTAAATTCTCCCTCACCAGGCCACCATTTTCCAATTTCAATTTTTTATTTGCCTTAAAAAAGAGAGTAAAAAACAATTAAGCACAAGCAAACACAAAAATGCTTCATAAAAATTATGATGTGAGCTATCTGTAATTTTGGATTGACCAGAAAATGAGTACATGGTTTTCAGAAACCTACAGTCAACACTGGAAATGTCATGTGAAACTATGACCAACTACCAACCTTCTAAATCCACACTCCACTCCCTAAGCACTGTGCAAACCTCCTACCCAGGGAAATAAAAGAAGCTATCTATGTCATTGAGCTTAGGTCACCAAGGAACCATACTAAAGGCAAATATTGTCCTTTTCTTTTTTTTTGTTTTCCTTTTTCACATAACCGAAGTTACTCTAAGCATTATAATATCATCCTATTATATGCAATTATTTGCAAAACTAACACTGAGACTTCATTCTTAAACGAGATTTATTTGGAGTTACTATCTTAAAAATGGTTCTTTTTAATGTTAACAAATCTGTTTAAATTACTTGATTGCTTTCTTGGGGAAGAAAAGGAAAAGAAAAGAAAACTACCAGTGCACAAGTTCACAACTAAAACTCTCAAAACTGGGCCAATATTTTCTAATACAATGCATGATGTATCCTCTTTTGATTAAAAAGAAAAATCCTGTTTTTCTTTTGTGAACCATATGAAAAAATTTGCCTTAACAAAATATCGATTTCTAGAAAATCTAGAGCAGTTTTTCTCAAAGTGAACCACCCCGTTCCCCTCCCCGCCAGGGTGCTGTAACCATCCAGGAAAGTCCAACTGAGGGCAGCTTTCTCTTTGTTCCATGAAAGGACATAGATATGAGTGTGGGGAGAGGTGTGAATTTTTTTCTTTTCCTGAAAAGACCAAATAAGTTTGGAAATCTCTGATCTAGAAGCTCAATACTGGTTATGGAGAGCCTAAAAAGTGGTGTGCCTAAATTTCAGTATTGTAAAAAGTTATTTCCCATAAATTCCCTAGTCACTGCATATTTTTAAATTAAAACAATAAAATAAAAAGATGTCCTGGATTATAAAACACTCCTACTAACACAGCAAAGAGAAATTCTTTGATTAAAACATTAACAATGAATGGGTCACAAAAACTAGTGTCAACAAAAAGATTTCAACCAAGACTTCAAAACTGGATCTAAAAAAATCTATCTAGAGTTTACAACCAATTTCCAGAACTTCTGCTATGACTTGCCTATCCACAAATGCTCCAAGAGGATGTGAAGATAAGAAGATATGCTTTTAGGCACAAAGCCTAATGCTTTGAGTCATCCAGGTTTCTTTTGGGCTCTGAGCAGCTACTCATCTCTGTGGCTGCAAATCAACCAGGATTGTAGAGGGTTAATTCTTTAAGTGACTGATAAACACCATTACTGCCCCTCTGAAGATACATGGCAAGTCATTTACTTCCTCATACACACAGACAATGAATTAAACTCTCAAGCAATGCATGGCAAGAAGAGCACTTAGTGAATGCTTTTTGATGATGATACGCTTAAATTAGAAACTCATTTGACTTCTTCCCTCTCCTCTGGATGGCTATGTTTCAAGGTCTCTCGCCAGTCCTCTAGTAGTAGATTTTCAAGTTCAGAAGAAGTGGGTTAATTTAAGGTTACAAAGAGCAGAGTTATGACATTTGTTGTACTTAGAGTAATGACTATTTCTCCTAATTAACTTGACATTCTCATCATTCACTAGGTAAAGATCTCATAATGATTCAAACTCACCTAATACTAGAAACATCACAGAAAAAGTTGATTTTACTCATTGAACTAGTCCTTTATTCTGAATCATTTGTATGTGACATATAGTATGCTAATTTATATTTCAGAGTCAAGCTTTGTCTCTTCAGCCATACTTTTAAATTCACCTATTCCAGTTTATTCTTAATAGTAGCTAATATTAGTAGGCATCTAAAATGGGCTTATTTACCCCCCTCATCCCCCAGTTATTCTTAGAACTTATGATAATTTGAGAACGGAATCTAACATGAAGTCACCACAAGAGCAAAGAAACACTGTACTTTTGACACATGCACCTAGAGCACATTGATGAACCCAGAGTAATTTTCTTAGTGTCATGTTCTAAGATGCATTTATTATAATAATTTAAATCAAGGCTAGTAACTATAAAGGAGACCAATAGGACCTTGCCTGCTCGCTCAAGAGGCAGGACGTGAGACAGGAAATGACAGAATGATAAATGCTACATCCTCCTAGTTGTCTTTTCCATGTTGTTTTTCCTTAAACATACAACACGCTAATGTGGGCATCAATGAACACCCCAAAAAAGTCACATTTAACCTAGACATGTAACAAACCATGCAGTTATGCTTGTAGTTCATTTTTCCCCTTGAAATCTCCTTGTTCCCATTCTCTCTTCTTGGCTTTTCCTATAGGCAGATTGCACTGATTTCACATATTGATATGTCAATCAACTGGCTTTATTATACCAAGTTGTAGATACTTTCTGCTGCTTAACTGAAGATCTGAGGACCAGTTGTGGTGTATCTCTTTAAAATCCATTGTAGCTCACTAATGACTTCAGGAGGCAGGGTTTAGTAACTCAGCACAGTAGCTCATTTTGAAGGGAGAGCAGATGAATACTTTGGATTTGGACATCAAAGCCTCCACCATTTAGAACAATAGAACTCCACTGAAGATAAACCTGAAATCAAGCCAAAGGCTGGTCTTTGGCTAACAATTCTCCAGCAATACTTCATTGAAAACCGTGGGTCTATAGCACTTGATTCTACTACTGCATGGCATGACTCTCATCTCCTCTAGTAAACTACCAAACCCAGGATGATTCCCTTTTCACCAATGCATCATTTTGTTAGAACTGAAAAAAGTGAAGCAGCAGGCCAGCAAGAGAGTTCAGAGTCAGCCAAGCATACACAAGGTCTAGAGTTTGATCCTGTCAATCTATGTCTTGTCCTCCTCCTCCCATCCCTCACCACTAGCACCAATGGGTGTGACCATGGCAGTTTCTGAGCATCACTGGTGTTGGTTGCCCTGGTGGTCCTCAGTACCACTGGACCTAAGCAGTCACCCTAGAATCGTCAGCTCAGTTAGCAGACTGTCACTGGGACTGGTCTGCAGAATCCCTGAGCACTGCTTGAAATGACCACTCTCAAAAAAAATATTGCAACTCCTAAGTCATAGATTTTTTTTGGCATACAGCGTATGAAGTGGCTACTCACAACTCTCTTGAAACTAGTCATTAAGTATTAGCAATCTTTAAAATAAAAAAAAAAAAAAAACCAAGTGCCAGGGATATAGCTCAGCCAGAGCATATGCCTTGCAAAAGCTAGTCTCTGGGTTCCATTCCTGTGCACTGCAAAAAACAAACAAGTAAACAAACAAACAGGCAAATAAATGAGAGTTCCAGAAAATATATGTTCCAAACCCTCTGATAGGTAGGGAAATAGATATGTATTTGCTTTTATGTATATATGGTAGTTATTGACATAAGCTTTCAAAAAAGTTAAGGCAAACCACAAAGAGGGGAAATAGAAACGCAACCTTTAAAATGATGTCACTTCTAGAAGAAGATGCAAACTCATAGAGAAGCACTACAGAGCCTCCAATTATAGTCATAAATGGAACCACCTGATATTTCTTGGCAGCGAATGCCATTTAAAGAGAAGAAGTTTTCCTATTTCTTATAAATGCTCATCCAGGGATTTCTTTCCTCCCCCCACAAATCATCTAATGATGACTCAAGATAATATGTCTGGCTATTTATATGGCTAAAGGTACTTAAAACATTACAGAAATTTTAAATCAACCATAGCACAATTTTGAAAACAATTAACAACTTACCTCTTTTAATTTATCCACATCATCTTTCACCTTTTCATATATTTCATTAGCTGTTCTAAGTTTTTTCTTCCATTCTGCTACTGTTTCTGGGTCAATTTTACTTGGATTATCTGTAATTGGATTTTTGTCTTCATTTTGGTTGCCCTGCATCAATGTTAAAGGATCTAGAATTGTCTTGATCTGTTCCTCCAAGCTCAGGTTTTTACTCTTAAGCTCTTCTACTTCTTTCTGAAGACAATCTATTTCATCCTGAAAAAAACATTATATAACCAGTAAGTAGACAGACAAATACACATGCAAGCTAAACTTAGGTCAATGTGTTTGCTAATTTTATACTCAAAATTATATAGATTTACACATTCTGTAGGACAGTTACACATTATACATACTTTACAAAAGAGAATAGTTTAGTACCCAGAAAGTCACATAATGTTGAAATAATTAAAATACATTTTGACTGAAAACAGGACTTCCACTACTTTAATTTATATTCAATAATAATTTGTGGTTGAAAAAAGATAAAAATGTCATCCTCTGACCCTATTTAAGATCTTAGAAAGCAAAAAGAAATCACATGAATTCAACACGTAGATTTTAACTCAAGAAAAAAAAATTGAGATGTTTAAATGCTTTACTGAGGGAAATTAAAATGTAAGTGCTGATCAAGGCGAAATTTTACTTTTTATTCTATATTTGAAGAAGTAAAATATCACTTTCTCTCACTTTCCACATCAGAAAAAATACTTGTACATAATTTTTAAACTGTTCTACGTTCTAGTTCTTTAGTTACCGCCAGAACTATTCCACATGTTTTTTCCCATCTGGAACTGCTTATCAACATACTATCTATCACTATAATAATGGGTTAGAACTTTTTTCTGTGAAACTAATCATCTGTAATGAGTATTTCACCTTAAACTAAGATTGCTAGGAATGATGTTGTCAGAAACAATTCCAAGTAGCTTAGTATATCAGTGAGTTCCAAAGAATTAATCTTACTTGTACCTAAGTAGTAGGTAAGAATGTTTTAGATATATAAACAAAAAAAGGGAAAACATATGTAAACACATGGCGACTCATTTATTAATGTTCCACTTTATTTCAAAAAAATTATTTGAGGTATTCTAGTTTCTGTCAATGAATTCAACTTAAATACATTTTATATCAAAATTTAGTCAACATAAAATGTGCACTTGGGTTTAATATATATTCCATTGGAATAAGTTAATTTGGGAAAACTCCATCACCATACCAAAATCACTTTAAGAGAAAGAAAAACAATATATGATCTCTCATTCGTATGTAGAATATTAAAAAGCTGGATCTGGGCAGAGAATTACACAATGGTTAGTTACCAGTGTGGACAGGTAAGACAAATGGAAAGATGGGTTAAAGGTTAAAAAGTTGTGATGAGGGCTGGAGCAATAGCACAGCGGGTAGGGCGTTTGCCTTGCACGCTGAAGACCCGGGTTCAATTCCCAGCATCCCATATGGTCCCCCAAGCACTGCCAGGAGTGATTCCTGAGTGCAGAGCCAGGAGTAAGCCCTGAGCATCGGCTGGGTATGACCCAAAAAGGAAAAAAAAAAAAGTTGTGATGAGACAGGATGAGTAAGTCCCACTGGAAACTTGCTATGACAGTAATTTCAGGTACTTTCAATCCACCTACATAGCCGCAGATTAACTCTTCGAGGACACCAACCACACCCAGGCATTCTTTTCTTATATGTGAACATCACGTTCATAAAGACTTTTATTCAAAATATTTTATATGCAAACAATGTTTTAGAAAATAGAGTATTTCACACTATAATCTCTATCCCAGTAGTGGACAAAGGAATACTTATATCACCAAAAATATTCAGGCCTGTAATTATTAGCACATTTAGGGGCAGAAACAAAAGTGAAACAATGGTCATAATCATTGACTACCAGAGCACTCACAGTCTGATGTCAGACCCAGTATCACAAGAGTGCTTTCCTTTATCACAAAGGCTTGAGGGAGGAATACTCACAAACCATCATAGCTGTTGAAGACAAATTTCAAATTAAAAAAAGAAGATACCCTTCCATCTGTTCCTTTCTTCTATTTGAAATAGGAAAGGGGGAGAAGGTATTTTTTAAATTGGAAATTAAGAATTTTTTTAGTGGATAATTAAATAATAATTAAATAAGCCCAAGGCCCGAGTTTGGCTGTACTTTGAGTTAAATACTATCCTCATGTAAAATTTCACTTGTTTTTTTACCTCATATTCTTTGTGGAGCAGTTCAAGTCTAGTTTTCCGAAGGTGTTTCCTGACTGTATGGCTGAGCATAGGTTCACTTTCACTTGTTCCTCCTACAAAAAAACAAACAACAAAACAAAACAGCTTTCAATCTAATGTGGGTAAAATGAAAATGAAAATAAACCCTTTTCTTCTTGTTCACCATATTCCTACTGTTTAACTTCTAGTTTTTCTGTCTTGTACATTGGGGCTTAGCCTCTAGGCCTTTTCTATTATCTCAATCCAGAGGGGAGAGAAAAAAAATTAAATAATGCCACACAAAATACCTGGAGCAAAGTCATATATTTGCTTACCTATGTCTCTTATAGCAAACTAAAATTCCAAATACTAGACAACTGGTTAAAAAAGGATAAAATTTAGTGATTTTATTTATATCAATTCAAAAATTTCATAAATATTTCATAAAATTATCATGTCATATACTGGACATATGCCATACAATTATCAAATAATCTATATGATGCTTAGTATTATATACAAATATGTAGTCCTATAACCTGGGTATTCATTCAAACATACTTGGTTATTGTAATACAACTGAAAAGATTAATTTGTCTTTTCATTCTAAAAACCCAACTTCCAGTGTTTTGCGAGTCATAGCATTCACTGTATTTCATAATGACTCATTATAGATAACCTCTACACAAATTCTTCCTGAGAGCTCTCCACTTATGCTGGGGTCATCCCCTTGCACTTTTTAGTATCATGATACCGAAGGCATTTCATAGATTATTTTTTCCAGTATGTTCTATCCAAATACAAAGATGAGTAAATTATTTCTCTTGAGGGAATTTATGTATTTCACTTAAGTATAAATAAGCGAAGGCCAGAAAGGGAAGTGAAGTTGAGAGGAAATAAACATTAAAATTATTTTAGTCATCAAGTCCACGTCCTATTATAAAAGACGAATCCTGGGTGAAGTTCAGGGCAGGTAAATGTAAGCGGCAAAGAGCTCCCCACTGCTGCGTGGCACACAGCAGATGCAAACTCACTCTGGCTCCAGCCAGGGGCCCAATACAGAAACCTGGGCACCATCAGATTCCTTCTTAATTCAGAAGTTCCCCTACTTCCTAATTCGTTCTTTCCATTTCTATTGTAAAAATTTTATTTAAGTCCATTTTTCCTAAATTGGGATCACAATGATTCCCAAAGTTGTCTGAACGGGTTTTTTTTTCTTTTTTTAAATATATATCATGAATATAGGATCCCTTTCAGGTTTACTCAAAGCAAAACCCAAAACCTTAAAATTTAAACGTTTACTATAACTTTTTTACTAAAGTGTGTATTATACAGGTGCAGCATAAAAACAAGGCTCTAAAAACTCATCAAACGTCTTAACTTCTCAAGGATCCTCCAATTCAAGATTTTCCCTCCTCAACATGAATGTGGCACATAATGTTCTTTTTAAACCTTTAATCCACACTGTTAATTCTCCCTCACCTAGGCATGAACCTCCTGTCTACTCTAGTCTGATGCTATCTCTCCTCTACTGTTCAACTTACATATCGACAGCCTTGAACTACCTTGTTCAAAAACTGCCCACTTCACCTTTCTCAACCACAGAATAAGTCCCCGATAAGAGCTGTCACTCAAGAGTCTCTAAAGTCTCAGTCTTATTTCAATAGCCCTAATTAAACTACAGATCCTCTCCAAAGCCATGCTTTGAGTTTTTCCATTTCCAAACTTTAGTCTGACTCTTTTCTCTTCATGAGCTACTACTGCCACCCTTCCCTCCTCCAATCTTCAATAACTGAAGTGTCCTTAATCTTCATTTTAAAGGCCAGTGACTTAATGAAGCCATTTTCCATGTTCCTAGCTGATCTTCTCTGGCCAAACTCTCTGGTCCCTTTCTCTTTTGGCCATTAACATCTGTTACTCTAAACCAGTAATATGCTGGTCCACATGCACAGCCTCTAACAAAAACAAATTCCCTGAGACTAAAATTTCTAAGTATCTATCATATTGCCCATGATCTCCAGTTGCTTCACTTACAGATTAAACAAATTAGAAACTCAACCAACATAATAGCAAAATCACATCAGTGAAATGTGCCTATTACACTCTTCTCTACATTATTCTGAGACCGATCTGAGCTTATTTCTATGTGTATATAATATAGGCCCTTACCGATAATTTCTTTGCAAGGATTTTCAGGAGTGATGGGAACTCTGCAAGCTGGACATTGGCTATTATTTTTCAACCACAAATCGATGCAAATCGAACAAAATACATGGTTGTTGATGCATATGACAGGCTGACGTACCTTAAAAAGAAAATCATTGCTTTTAATACACAGCTAGTTACAACCAGATCCCCAATATGGTGTAGTTTAGAGGAAACAAACTGCTTACTATTGTACAGAAAAGAGGGAATATCTAAAACATAAATAAGCTGTTGCTTCCAAAATCATTGTACTTACACATAACAGAGATAATGGCTACCTAGTCACAGAGACAGACACTTTTTTAAAAAATGGTTTTATTTGTTCTAAATCACACGCATGGCAAAAAAGAAAATGCTTTTAATTCTACTGAAGTTAGAACAATTTTTTAATTTTCATCATCGTAAAATTAGGAATTTGCTTTCTTGTTTTGGGGCCACACCTGTCGGTACTCTAGGCTTCTAGCTCTACACTCAGGGATCACTCCTGGTGAGGTTCAGGGATCACATGGGATGCTGGAAATTTAGGATGTATCAGCTCCATGCAAGGCAAGCATCCTGCCCACCCTCCTATCTCTCTGGCCCCACCTTTAAAGATCCTTTAGTTTATACTTACTCATCTGTTGTTAGACCTTTTTCACTGCAAATTCCTGCTTCTAGTCCATGTGGACTGTTTACTCATCTGTTGTTAGAAACCTCTTCTCAATTTATTCTACCAGATTACAGACAGCAACAATTAAGCATGGGCATTTACTAGAAATTCCCCAACCGAAAGAGCCACAAAAGTTAAAAGTCTTCGAAGGCATTAGCACCACCATTAAATGATTTACAACAGAAAGAGCAAACAATACCGAAAGAAATAATTGTTACACATCAAATAAACAATATTTGAGTCTACTTAAACACATACAAATAGTATTATATTTCCAGTCATGTTTTATAAAGGGTTTTCATATGCATTCTCTTCTCTTTTTCTTCTAATAACCCTTAGTGGTAACAAGAGCAAATACAATTCACAAATCAGTAAACTAGGCATGAAGAAAAAAGGTAGAATACTCAGGATTAAGTGGATTTTGACAGTGTACAATAGTTTTATCAGGAGGGAAAAAAAGAGGAGTTTCTTTAATTTTCTACATGACATTTATATGTTAGAATATTTACGGTCTAATTCCTGTTAGAATGAATGGCTCTTAAGAGCAAAAAGAACTTACTTCCTCTTACTCATTTAAAAAATTTGAAATTTAAGAGCCATAACCAACAAAATTACTGATAGCTGAATTTTAAATTCAACATGTAATGTACTAGCGGGTCGGAGCGATAGCATAGCGGGTAGGGCATTTGCCTTGCATGCGGCCAATCAGGGTTCGATTCCTCCGCCCCTCTTGGAGAGCCTGGCAAGCTACTGAGATTATTCTGCCCGCCTGGCAAAGCCTGGCAAGCTACCCGTGACGTATTGGATATGCCAAACACACTAACAAGTCTTACAATGGAGACATTACTGGTGCCTGCTTGAGAAAATCGAGGACAGTGCTACAGTGCTAATGTACTAGCACCAATTCCTCTACCAGCATCAACTTCCCTCCCTAGCCTGATATCTTGACAAGTACATTTTAAAGTTTGGGGGCTGTAGTTTGGAATCTTATACTTTTCAGCTTCCTCTTATTCTTAAAGAACAAAAATATTATGATATAACTGCAATAGGATTGGATTTAAATGTTTTAAAATTTTGGTGGGGTATGGCTCCCCAGAAGTGTTCACGGCCCAAGGGATACTCTTGGCTTTATCTGGCTTCCTGACATAGGCCTGAGAGTTTGGTGCTCAGGCCCTGAATGTGGTACCATATGATGTCAGGGATCAAATTTAGGGCCCTCATATGTAAGGTATATGTTCCATCCTTTTAGACAATCTCCCTAGCCCCTCTCATTCCATCTTAATCCCCAGTGCCTAGAAGACAGAGGAATAGTACTTAACAAAGGTTTGCCAAACGAATTAATTGCTATTATGACAGTGCTTAGCATTCAATTACAGGGAACTTGCCAGAGGGAATAATGACTATTATTCTTCAAAAAGCACAAATTTAACAATAAAAAGAACCAAAACACTGTAGCACTTAGGCTTTCTTTCACTTGCTTCACATGTTACTTTTGCTATTAAACTGATAACACTTGATAACCCTTTTCAGTATTTTTTTGTTCTAGCAACAACAGTGTCAGTGTTGAGCCCTACTCTGAGGACAAGCAGAGGAGTCGAGGACTGAAAAGAGAACCACCACAAACTGTTTCTTCTGAGTGGAGTTCCAGGTTTATGCCTCAGAGTGACATTCTGAGTATTTATTAATTGGAAACAGATCTCTCTGCAAAGGAAAAAAAATCACAGATGTATGATGGTTCAGAAAGACAAGTAATGATTTAAATCTCACTGCAAAGAGTGCTTGTGTGTCAGTCTAGCTTTCCAAACATTTAGATGTTCCCAGGATTATGAATGCTCACATAAGAAGACTAACCAGAGAAGATAATTCTGCATGACTTAATCTTCCTCTTGGACGAATCAACTGTCATTTGTTTGGTTCAAATGAATTCATAGGACTGAGATTCATTAGAACCAAGAAGGAGATCATCTCAAACTCTGCTTCCAAAGTGTGCCTACTGAAAACACAGAGTGCATGCGAATTTGAGAGGTAGTCATCACATCTCCCAGAATGCTACACACGCCCGAACAATCTTTCCAGGTTCCATTTTTACCCTAAATTCATGTGATTTAGGAATCAATAGCACAGCAGGTAGGGCATTTGCCTGACATGGGTTCGATTCCTCCGCCCCTCTTGGAGAGCCCACCAAGCTATCAAGAGTATTACGTTCCCATGGCAGAGCCTGGCAAGCTGCCCATGGCATATTCAATATGCCAAAAACAGTAACAACAAGTCTCACAATGGAGACATTACTGGTGCCCACTTAATCACTTTCCGTTAGTCGTCAATTTGCTCAAGCGGGCACCAGTAACGTCTCCATTTGTCCCTGTCGCTTGCTAGTGTAGCCCAATGGCATCTGTTCGCTCCGGGAACATGAAGAGCCTCAAACCGATCATTCACGATCTTGACGAAGAAGTCTGACCATCTGGTAGGTGGGCGGCCACGCGGTCTTTTGACATCCTGTGGAATCCAGTCGGTAACAGCTCTAGTCCAGCGGCCGTCTTTAAATCTCATTACGTGACCAGCCCATCTGATTTTCGACACCTTGGCAAATGAGACAGCGTCCGATTCTTGATCGTCGACGGATGTCAGAACTCTGGATTCTTTCTCTCATTTGAGTGAAATGAGATTCTTTCTCTCATTTGAGTGAAACATGATATTCTAACATATAAATGAACGAAGGGATGCCGGTGCTACAGTGCTACAATAACATTTGTATATTTTTTATTTCGTTTTTAAATGATGAACTATTTTAAGACAAAAAATGATATCTCTGGGGGCTGGAGCAATAGCACAGCGGGTAGGGCGTTTGCCTTGCACGCAGCCAACATGGCCAACCCGGGTTCGATTCCCAGCACCCCATATGGTCCCCCAAGCACTGCCAGGAGTAATTCCTGAGTGCATGAGCCAGGAGTAACCCCTGAGCATCGCTGGGTGTGACCCAAAAAAAAAAAAAGATATCTCTGAGGCAGGAGCAATAGTACAGCAGGTATGGCATTTGCCTTGCAAGTGGCTGACCTGGGTCGAACCTCAGCATCCCATATGGGTCCCCAAGCACTGTCAGGAGTAATTCCTGAGTGCAAAGCCAGGAATAATCTCTGAACATCACTGGGTGTGACCCCCCCCAAAAAAAACACAACCACTAAGTACCTGGAAGATATTGCTGTATCAACCCGATAGCCTGCCCCAGACCACACGCACACACTCATGCAGCACTCCCCAAAGTACAGGTACCAGAAAATGAAGCTTGGCTATAAAGTTGCATTTCCGTAGACTTCTGGAGCAACTACTGAATTTCTTTTCTTTAAATTACAAACTAATCTAAATATGGAAGAAAGTCAATAGCATAAAACAATGCATATAATTAAAGGGAATTTAAAATGCTCTCCCACCAATGACTTTCCTCTTTAGAAGCACACTAAAGGCAATCAGGATTTTGTGTCTTTGCTTCCAAAACAATACAACATGTCCCCAATCTGAAAATGTTCTGAACAACCTAGGGGTTGACTCTATCATTTACTAAGGTGAGAAAGACAAGATTGTACACGCTGTAGAAGTCTCTTCTTTGAAGTAGAAAAACATGGTAAGGCAGGGGCTGAGAATCACTAACAAGAAGATGTGGCATAAATCCATGGGACAGTTGATCCCAGAGCAATTGGAGACAAGACACAACAGCAGAAAGAGAAAGAGAAGCAGCAACTAGCAAAAGAAAGCGGAAAGGAGGGGTCTGTGCTGGGGGCACAAAAAAAGCAGAGTCTCAGAGGCTAAGAGAAGAAAATTTGTTAAGAGTGGACAGCAGCCAAATATAGGTGAGTCATCAGTTGCCACATACTGATGACAGATGTGGGCGTGGGCACAGAACTGATTGGGATTTAACTACATGTCAGTCACTGTGCTCTTATTGACAATCACACGCTCAGTAAATGGCAGGGGTGCAAACTGGGTAGGAGTTGAGACAAAAGTGAAAATAAGAAGGTAAGAGAACAAAGATAATTTGTACATGTTTTAATATTTAAAAAAAGGTTTAAAAATGAGGGGCCCTGGGTTGGAGCGACAGTACCGTGGGCATCATACTTGTCTTACACATGACTTATGTGAGTAGATCTCAGGGATTGCATACGATCCCCCCCCCCCACACACACACACACACACACACACTGCCAGGAGTAATTCCTGAGTGCAAAGCCAGGAGTAACCCTTAAACACTGCCGGGTATGATCCACAAACCTAAAAAAAGAAGAGAGGATCCTGGAAGCAATGTCAAATGGAAATGAAACTATATTAATGGGAACAGTTTATTAATATATAAAGGGGATATTAAAGATGAAAGCAGGGAGGGGGTTATAGTGAAGAGAGCAAAGCTCCTAATAAGTCAAGAGAGGAATGAGATACAAAGCCTGAGGGGGGAGGTATCA